CCGCACCCTCCCCGGTGGCTAAGGAGGCCCCACGGCAGGGACGAGGGCTGTCGGACATCGGAGCCGGCGGACGCCGTGGGCCCATCCGTGCCGCCCCGCCGGGCGCTAACGCCAGGCGTGCCCGTGACATGGCACGTTTCACACCAGCGTTCATTGGCAGTGCCTGATCCCCCCACCCCTTCCTCGCATATTACAATATTTTCCAGAGAAGTAATTTTTGACCAAGTCTAAGTCCACTGCTTACTGTAGCTTACCTCACTGTAAGATGGGCCATGAAAACATGGAACTAGCAGTCTTGTTCCTACAAGGGCTCTGTTTATAACTCCTTTATTTCCTCTAACAGCCCTCCAAATGCTACCATCTTGTCTAACACCTTCTTATCTTGTCTGTCTCCTTTCCTTCCAATAACAAGTGCTTGATCCTGCAAAGATGTAAGCATTTGAATAACATTCTGCCCCGGGGGTCGGACAAGTGATTTCCCTTCCCTCAGGGCCTGCGCTGGGCCCAGCTCTGGCCCGGGGTGAACGAGAGCCGGTGAGCTCAGCAGGTGCAGCAGCAGCCAGGTTTTCATGAGCAGCGCTGGAAGCCATCATGCAGATGCTGATTTATTTTAGCATCTGCAGCAGGCGTTCCATAGCCCCCAAACCAGTCTGTGTGGACACTGATCATCCAGGTTGGGTTGGGCTACAAATGGCATTGTAGAGTCCCTTTGTTTGGGTGTATTTTGCAGCCACCTGGTGACGCTCTCAACCTCTAAACAAAATTCCTTGTGTTCTATTCACAGTCTTTGAAAGCACGTGGTCAGGAAATGGCTCAGGGCACTTCAAACCTCCCCCCAGTCCCCATTCCTCTCCCATGCTGACCTGAAAGCTGCAGATAGATTGCAGGAGTAAATGTGTTTACTGTGCCTGTGCAGTGGGACTCAGAAATGTTTCATGGTTGCCTATGTAATAAAACGCCTGTTGAAATGAACGTGGAATGGCCTGGCCATTTTTGGTCTGCGTTTGCAAAGCTTTCCTCTAGCAAGGCTTAGTAGCAGGCCTGCTTGGCCTTTTCTGCTTCTAGTACTGCTGCAAAAGAAAATTTATGAAGCCACAGTAAGCTTCCATGCAGTACAGACCCACCTGAACCAGATGGTAAGGGGGAAGGAGGGCTTGGTGTGGCTTCACTGCAGTGATGAGCACCTGGTTTAGTCTGGCTCTTACCTAATCCTAGTACCCATACTGCAAAGCAGTATCCAAGGTCTTCTGCCTTCGTTGGTCCTACAGGCTGCCATGTACCTCTGGGTCTGTATCTATGGATCTTCATGTGGCAATGGGCTGAGCCATGCTGTGAGTTTTCTGCCATGGCTATGAGAAGGCACTGGAGGGACATATGTCACTTAGCATGTATTCTTCTGGCAAAAGGGGCAGGCTACTGATATCCTGTACTGCCCTCCGCACCGGTGAGCTTGCCTCGAAAGCACTGCTGAAGTCCTATGAGAAGATTTTTGTGAATGACTGGCAGGTGGGGATGAGACGCAAGATAGGAGTAAGAGGTGGTTAAGACATACCATAAGAAAAGATACCCCGGTAAGGAAAGTCTTGAAAGAGTCCGTGGTGCTCAGGTACTAGCTTTTAGTATGGGCATAGGCTTGTGGGAGGGTTTTGGTATCCCCTTGTTACATGAAATCATTTCATTTCTTAGAGGTTATCCCACCAAGAGTCAAACTGGCCAGCCAAACATGAAGCTATATTTGTGTGTTTCCCCCTTTCAGCAGCAGTGAGTCATTAGAAGGGCTCAGCTGCTCATGAAAGTGCAGCTGTTTTGCTCTCTTCTGATTCAGCTGCACTCTTGTGTTTCATTGCACTCGTAATCCCTCTGGGCCTCCCAAGGACCATCAAAGACAGACGTGGGAGAGAAGGCCTGGGAGTGGATGGTTACTGAGGCTCAGCGTAGAGGCAGCTGTTACACACAAGGATAGGCTGCTAGGTTTCATTCATGGCTTTTTATTCTTGCACAAAGCAAAGAACTAGCCCTGGGTAAAGAGCAGGAGTCATAAAGCACCTCTACAGTCTCCATATTCTGGTGATAACAAAGCTCTGCTCGGTCTCAGCAAAAGAAAAGCAGTTGCTCATCAGACTTCTCTTCCAAGCAAAGTAAATGCTTTGCCTCCCGCCCTTGAAATGGCTTATCAAAGAGCAATATCTAATCAAAGCCTCTTTCAAGCCTGGGCTAACTACCATTTGTGCTATTATTGACTCAAGGCAATTTGGGAAGGGGAGGTAGGGGGCTTTGATTCCTCTGATACGAAAGCTTTAAAGAAAAGAAAGAAGTCACAGTATTGACCTGTGATGCCACTGCATACAGATAAAAGCCTAGCTGTCATTTTAGCCTGCAGAGCCTCACCGTGACTTCAATGGCTTGACTTCAGGGTAGTTCAAGCCTGATTTATGAGCTGCAGCTTTTACACTCTGGTCCCACAGAGCGTGACCTTTCTTCTGCACCAACACCCCCACAGTAGCATGGAGAAGGTCACATCGCTCCCATCCCCGTACATGGAAGGATGTGGTCTAAAGTGATGATTTTATTAAGCTCCAAACTTCTGAGCAGGCCCAAAGAGATCACTTGTATTGACATGCAGGAAAGGACGCTTTACAGAAGTAAACTGACCTCCTCACAGCCCATCAGACTTAAAAGATAGCCTACATTCCTGGCACAGAACTTCACAACAACCATTTCAAATTCAGCATTGTCATGGTTATAACCGTGGTTATAATTGCTTTGCATTCCTCTATCTATACATTAACCCTGCAGTTAATATGTGGCTCCTAAGAGAATTAAATAAGCCAGAAAGGTCAAAGGCTAGGCAGACACATATGCAAATACATATACAAAGATCTGTTTAAGTTTGATATTCCTTTTTTCTTTGCTTCACATGGAAAAACAATCGTCAGTTTTTAGGCCCTGCTATGTCCTTTGGGTCCCTCAGTGGCTTTCTGTATAAGGCCAGCGTATCTTGGCTGACACTAGTTGACTCAGTTGCAATTCTAGTTTCCCCGGGGCCTTGACATGATTTCAGTCTGGTCATGATCCCTAGTCTGCATCCCTAAATAGTCTGGCTATTGCTGAGGATAGGAACTTAAAGATTTTGCCGGGGGTTCTAAGGAAGAAAACAGAGAGGCAATAAGCATCATCAGTATTATTTAGGCCAAGAGCGCTAGATTAAGCATGCACTTCTTAAAGATTTATTTTGATGGAAGTGATTCCTATTTTATGCTTTTCCTTTTGTTTTACTTTCTGGCATTTGGGACAGGTGAAGCACAAGCCGTCAGAAGAGCTGAGTCTTGTATGTTGACACAGCCACAGAGGTCACCCTCCATACTGGGTGGTGCTCTCCGTATTGTGTCACCGTGAACGCACTGTCCTTCCTCCAGAGCCCTCCTTTTTGGGCCATGGCCTGGGAGAGACTCTGCTGCGGAAGGCATACAAACAAAGCACACGTGCTCTTGGCTGCTGCCCGGCCTGCTGCTTCTCTCCAACCGGAGGAGCTGAGAGCAGCCACAGTGTTGCTATGTGCAGCATCTGGCCTGTTGGATTTACAGGCACTGCAGAGGCCTGGGAAATGCAGGCTACTGAGGGGAAGGAACAGAGCGGGTCCTTCAAATCCTCATTAGATGCTTTTAAAAATGGCTTGTCCTAGTTAACTATGCAGTAGAGCGAGAGAGTCAAAAAAGTACTAGTCAGGTATCTCATGGAATAGGATATAA